CCCCAAAACCCCAAAACCCCAAAACCCCAAAACCCCGTCAAAATTTATAATATTGTATTGTAATTATAATAATATTTTTATAAATATAAACATGGTTAGACAAGAGACAGACCAAGACCTTCCATTCAAGATTAGACCAATTCAACTTGTAATGCACAACCCTAACTTCTTCTGGGTACATCCTCTCGATACTTCAAAATCGATCCAAGTATTAGGAGGTGCAGGATTTTTATTCAGCGCTTTCGCTGGGGCAGGAATTTCATTGACCTATTACAAATTTAACCAAGCAACTAGCGTACCAGCTACTTTTTACCAAAATGTTTTCAAAACTTGGGGTCGCTTGCTATTCGGTCTTGCCATCGGAGGATATGTTGGATATCTCAGATTTGGAGATAGACAAAGACTCCATAATGCTTATACCTCATACCGTCTCAGAAGAAGATATCCAGGAGCTATCAACATCACTGAAAAGGACATCTGGAAGCACAAAGGACACAAGTGTCATAACCATATCTACGAATTCCAGTAATTATTGATAAGTCTGAAGCCAAATTCCAGCAATCGTTCAATATTAGAAACAATAAAGGGGTTTTGGGGTTTTGGGGTTTTGGGGTTTTGGGCTTTTTTCTTGAGTTTTATTAGACATCACCCTTAAATCAGCTCTTTCTTATCACTCCTTCAAAATTCAAAAACCAAAGATATCAAAAAGCGAGAATACTCTGCTCATTCTCTTTTCCATTCACAACCTTTTATCATTTCCTACATATCTACTCTTTACCCTTTGTTACTATTTGCTAATCTCATTAATTTCATCAAAACTCTCACAACCACATTCAGCTCCAAAGTGCCATCCAATTGCATGAAATGCTAGCTATCCAGTCATCATTGATTAAGCATCGCTTTATTACAGAATTTCGGCTGAATACAAGTGAATTGGCACTTTGGTCTAGTGGTATGATTCTTGCTTTGGGTGCAAGAGGTCCCGGGTTCGATTCCCGGAAGTGCCCTTTTTTGTCCATAGAGTACCTAAAGTATGATTATTTCCAAAAATAATTAAAACATCCTCAATTCAGACAATTTTCTTAGGGGTTTTGGGGTTTTGGGGTTTTGGGGTTTTGGGG